TAATGAAAGAATTCAATGTTTTTTTTTCTTTTGCCATATGTCATTTAATATACATATGTTTATCGAGCTATTTGTTCGTTCACATTTCTCTCTGTATATATAATGTATTATCTAAAATAACTTGTTTGTATTATATTTTTGTATAATTTTTTTCTATTTAAATATAAAGATGTTCATGATATAATTTATAAATTCGTTTTTAATAATTCTATGAATATAATATATACGAAAGTTTATACCGATGGATGGACAAATGTATAGATGGATGAATGTTTGTTACTCACGCAAAAACTACTGAACAGATTTCAATGAAATTTTGTACATGAGTAGATTATGTACTTCTCCGTCCCAAATAGTATATGATAGCTAAATTTTATAACTATTAGTTAGCCGTTAAGGCGTTAAAAGGTAATAAATAAATAAACCCATTTTCAAATTTATAAATTTAGAGAGAATAATATTTTTTTTCCATTCCCATCCATTTTCTCGAAATGTCTGTCGATAGACGTCATTTCTTGGAAAAGCTGACTAATCCATCTATTGTTGATCTTTAGCCAAGTTGGCTGATTTTTTTCGAAATAATTCAGTAATTCGCTGTTACATTTTTATTATAATGTTTTAAATTTATTATATCAGCCGTTAAATGCGTACTGTTAAACTTTAGCCGTTATTACGGTGTTTTAATATTTATTTGCCAGTATTTGCCACGTTTGGCAGGTAGGCTGGAATCTACAGTTTAGTAGTCGATGTTGCAACCAGCTTACCGTCGGTGGGAAACATACTTGCATAAATATTGTCCACGTATACATAATATTATGTGTCCAGGTAAATGTGCTGTATTAGTACTAAATCATAGTATCATCATCATCATCATATCAGCCTTTAACTGTCCATTGCAGAACATAGACCTCCCCTATTTGGGGGGAGTTGTCATAAGTTATAACGCTTGGCAGGCGGGTTTCCTACCGCAGTTAGGCTTTAGTGATGTTTTAAAAGGGACGCTATTATCAGGGGATCATTAAGATTCCTTAATCACCTCTTACGACGATCATGGGAAAGGATGGGATGGCCCATTCTATACTGGGACTACATGGTAATATTATATATATACATATCGGCGCAAAATAAAAAAGATATTCGAGATACAAGCGCGAAAAATGAAGGAAAGCGCTAAAAAAATGTCTAAGTCGGAGAAAAGAGACCTTAGCTATGGCCACCTTCCGACATATATATTTTATTATAATGCACATTATACAGATGAGCTCTTCTTAATATGATGTTTATTCTTTTATAGGTGGAATAGAAGCAGTATTCTTGCTAAGCAAGCGAGGGAGACCTCTGTTACAGATAAATCAGTTTCGGTTCAATTTGAAGAAAATAAGGGGCGTCAAGAGGTACTGGGTGTGCAACAAAGTGGCCCAAGGCTGTCGCGTTACAGTCCTGACGTACAATAATGATATAATAAAAATAAACAACACACACGCCCATTATAAAAATGGCAATTTTGGATCTGATTATCAGTATAAATGAAAATAAATTCCCGAACTGACTTGGCATTTTTTTATTCCCTATTTTTGTAATAATCTGAAGAGAAAAAAAGATCTGGATGTTTCCTGGAAAGTCGAAGAAAAATTATGCCGTTTGTATGGACTCTTGATTATAATTGGCGATATGAAAGATATATTTTGTTGATTTGGTTGTGTTCGTTAGGTTTTTCGAGATAATAACATCATAGTTTTTTCTCTACATTTCGATATTATAATAAGAAGAAGCCATATATAATTCTTATCTATTAATCTACGAGTATGTACCTATTTAGTTAAATAAATTAAGTTTAGTTGATTTATCTCAAACGTAATATCTATTTATTCTTATGGAGATACGAAATACAGTAATACGTGAAGTAGGAGACAGCTGTATCAATTGTTCATTTTTAATAGATAAAATAAGTGATCACTCACAAACTTTCTAGCCATTTTATTTACCACCCAATACCTTTATTTATGTAAGAATATATTTATTTATAACTTTTAGTTTCCAAATATATCTATAGCAGGTATCTTAATACTCTTATTTTAATTATGTTTGTTCCTTATTTTTTTTGTATCAATGTAATTTATAATATTTGTAAGAAAATTATTTATTAATTAATTATTTTTTTTATAAGAAATAAATGGAGAAACAATATACTTTGTTATGTCCTTCGACGGTTACCACTTTACAATTAATGTAACAAAAAAATAAAAAAAAATAGTTTTCATTAATAACAACAATTAATGGTATATTTACTTTTGTACTGAGGTCGTAAGGTAATATAATGGTATAGCCGTGTAGTTCTAGTATAGAATGGGCTATCCCTTCCTTTCCCGTGACTATCATAAGAGGTGATTAAAGGAACTTAATGATCGAGGGTTGGAGAGCAGCGTTCCTCTTAAAACATCACCGAAGCCTGCGGTTGCCAATGTTCACTAGTCAATAGTTAATGGCTGATGTGATGAGAAATGTCTCATATTTACAATACAGTACGACTCGTTTAATATCATACTTATTATTAATATCACTTATATTGCAATTGTGTTCGAATTATTTTGCAGTATTTATATTTGTGTTTGGTGATAACTGGTTTAATGTTTGGTGATAATTAATAAATGGTGGTATTTTTTTTTTATTTCAACAGCTATGTACCAGGAATACGACGGGCGTCTCTACTTATGGTACGATGGTTATAGGTTTACAAAAAATAAAATGAAAGGCAGTAAAGTGTGGTGGATTTGTAGCAAGCGGATGTCGACGAGATGCGGCGCGTCTATGGTCACCTTTGAAAGGCAACTCATAAAAATTAACTCCAATCACAGTCACGGACAATATGGATGTTAACCCTTCTTTGCATAAAGGTGGAAATTTCCATCATAACATTGAATGTCCAAAAATTATATAAAAGGACAAGTGCACTTTAGATTGATCATGTGTGAGTACCTTTTTAATGTCCATTACAGAAAACAAAGCATAGCAAATTTATTTTTTTAACCATTTTGCCTTTAATTTTGAACATGAAATATATCACCTTGATTTATTTCACCAATAAAAAAATATCATGCAAAGAAGGATTAAGGTACAAATTTATGAATTGTGATGATATAGTCATTCTAAGGATATATTCCTTGCTACAGTAATATAAATTTGAATGTGAGTTGGTTTGTTACCACTTCGAACTTAACGGCCTAACAATCGTTATGAAATTTGGTACACACCTACAGTACCTGTATATAGGAATGGATAATATCCAATATCTATATATTCTGTTCTTCTGAACATTTATGATCATCCATTCCGATATCGTGAATACTAGTCAGATATCTATATTCGTTACGAGCAGTTTCTTCATTTTGATATTATATATCGGATCGCCAATGTTTAATATATCTGTTATTAGGCCAATGTATGTATAGATATTGTAACTAGAATATATAGATATTGATATATATTAACCATTCTTTTTGTCCCGGTTATAGGTATATTTACCTATCCGGATAGGTATATGTACCTATCCGGTAATGCAGATAAAGTCGTAGATTAAGACTAGTAATGCTCATATATTAAAGCTGAATTTTGCTTTGTTTGTTTGAACGCGCTAATCTCTTAGTCGGATTGGAAAAAAAAATTTTGCATTTGATAGTAAAATGTTTTAAGAAGGTCACAAATAATATTACGTTAAGTCCACGAGTGAACGTGTAGGATACAGCTAGTCAATTATAAGTTTAATAAAATTGATATGTAAATCACTATTTAAATTTAGAAATAATTTATTTAATAGGTACCTAATTAAGCCTTGAAATTACAAGATAATTACATAACCTCTGACCAGTCAAGAGGGTTATAGAAAATATTATTAAATATTTATAAATAAAAAAGAAACTTCAATCGAGGCAAAATTTATGTAGGATCAATACAGGAGAACACCGATTACAAAAAGAATCATTAAAATTGGCATAGAATTAGAATACTCATCGCGTACATACGAAAATTTAGTTAAGTCGGTGAGAACCCACCTCCTCTTAAAAGCTCATGAGATTTCTCATTGTCAGTGTTGATTAAAATTTTCAGCTTTTAATTAATTTCCATGAAATAACTAAATAATATTTTCTATAACTTGTATATAAAAATAGTAATTGCTTAGTTTAATTTTTTTTTAATTCATAGATTGTTATGGCAAAAGAATAGAAAATAAATAATTTGATTTTGTATTAATTTATGTATTCTTATTAAAATCTAGTGTTCAATAAAAAGTAGGCGTTTATTAGTCAAAGGTATAAAATTCTTAGTCAAAGTGCTAATGTTTTTATAAGATAGAGTTAGCGAAAATAAATATTATATGGATAATGTAATTGTTTAATTTGCTTTGTTAAGCTTTGGTTTTTAGCTAAAGTTTTATATATGTAAAAAGAGTTCTTTATTTATAAATCATAAATTTATTTGTACAAAAGTCGTCTTGATATTGTTTTTTTCGATTATGTACGTAAATAGTTAATTGTATATTAGTTAATTAAAATTTATTGCATATTAATTAAATATTTGAATATGACAATTTTTTTGTGCCAATTAATTAATTAAATTAAAAATAAAAAAATTAAATACATCTGTATTTGTTTACCCTGTCGAAACTATATCTAATTCTATAGACTTCAGCTATATAAGCTATAACTTATATTCGTCAGTTATATATTATAATAAGTTATATTTTTTAGGCTAGTGAATATTTAACTTATGTCTTCTGTCCATAAAATTGAATTGAAGGCCTTCAATTGTGTATAAGGTCCATATATCGTTTTTATTAACAGAAGAATCGAATATAATATGGGTATGTATTTTGCATAATTATCCTGTGTTCTTCGGTAATTCGAATTTGATAATTTACTATAAATTGTCTTAACAATTATGGCATAGAATTAGATTAGTTCTAGAGTGTTCTATAGGATTACTAACACAATTTCATGTTGCAGTTCTATTCGGAATGTCGCAGAAGGGTAATCCGGTGGTGATGATTGGAAAGTACAGATTCAAACGGACGTCTGGTTACGGAGTCAAGTCTTGGTGGCATTGTATTAAGAGGTCTTCAAGAGGGTGCATGGCTAGTGTCAGATTGACTTTCGATCAAATTGAACGGTACAATTTTGTACATAACCATTAATGTAATTATGTGATTTACCAGAAGATGACTTTGTACAAAAGTCGACTACTTGGCTACCTAATTGTTTATACCGCTATACAGGAGACCTACCATGAAATGTTTTCCGAAATTTCGGGGCCGAACGCAATATAAATTTGATGTTAAAATTACGTATTATAATATATTAAGTGTTAAAATATTGTTCCTTCAGACTTTTATGGTGGGATTTAGGATGAACGAAATTTTAAGCTCTATTTACTGTGCCGATTTTCATATGAGCAAAACCATGAAATTGAATCTGAATATTCAGAATTTAATTTCATGGTAGCTGTGCTTGCATGGCTGTGTTTAGGTTTGAACTGTGGGATATGGCAGTGAAATTACAGGGTATATAGGCATAACCTCTTAATCCTCAGGAATAGTATCAATAGGGTACCATTACCTTTAATGCGTTAGTAGCGTAGGGTAAGGATAATGGAAGCCTATGGAGGCTTCACAGTATATTCTGTGATGCCCAATGTGCTGTTCATATTAGTTAGCCGAGAGTTACTATTTTCTATCAGGTGGACCGTCTGCTCGTTTGTCATTCAATGTTATATAAAAAATATATCAAAATAGTAGAATTGTTCTATACACCTGGTTTAGTAAAAACTGACAACAACTACTCACTATAGAGCATTCAATACATATGATATACAAATTAGTACCTTAATTTCGTTGCTTATAATAACTAGGTTTTTAACATTGTTTCATTTTAAGCATTCTGCAGAAAAAATATCAAATATATCGTCATAGTCGTAGAATACTGACGGATCTGACGAAGATTACATATAAAGATCCGTCAGTATTCTACGACTATGACGATATACTTAAAATACATTTCTTGAGATGTAGATGTTTAGTATACATAAAATCGAGTCTTTCTTCAAATCTCATGATTGCGTCATAGTGGAAATTGCATAGTAGATTTTTAATTGGATGCATTCGTCGTTCTATTACTTCATAATGTATTTATGATATGAGATATATGAGTCTAACATGCAATTATAAAAACTTCAAATCTTGCGGTTTTTTGTTGTCTATGTGAAAATACAGCAAAGTTAGCACCGTTTTATCTTATGTTGTAAAACAGCAACATCTTTATTGTTTGGTTTCTAGTATAAGGTAACCAATTCAATTGCTACTTACTTCTTCTAAGAAGTGACTATGATCGAGTACATCCCTGGACGTCATAGTATATTATTTGGTGTTTTCGAATTTATGTCTGTAAACAATAGTAGAGTTTGACGCTTCCAAACATTATAATATTTATTATACATTAAGATTTTACGTAATTCTTGTATGTTTTTTAAGCGGTGGTAGACTTTAACGGATTTATTTATTAGACTTAGATTTTATATCAATATTTGTATTACTCTGCATTTTTTATTAATATAGTTTTCTAAGGGCTTTTTATTAATATTACATTTACACATTATACCGTATTTAGATATATTAGTTGTATCATACTCTGAAGTAATTATTCAAATGGACTTCAAACTATTTATTTACATTATTTAGGTGCGAAAGAGAGGGATTAATGTACGCCAATAATATAGAGACATAATAAAAAAATTAACTCAGCTAATATATTTTTGGGTAAAATAATTTTCATCCAGCGAACCCTTAATTTCGTTCTATAAATTTAGTTTATTTTCCTATTTTTACGGCCATGTACATGAGAATGTTATTAATCATTGTTGCCTCATTATATTTGGCAGGTCTAATTATATAATTTTATATAATTTTTGTGGAATTTATGGAAATGTTAACATGGTTTTGTTACATATTTTCTATTATGTTTCATATCTTTATCTCACATTCATTGCTAAGGAAAACGGGCTGTTGAAGTGTGACGGTATAGGCGTTGATGTGCCTTAGTGTAAAAGTATTATGTTTACATTGAATGATTAAAAAAAGTCGTCAAATAAATTTAAAATATCGTTAGACTTGGCCAGTTTAAATTATTAATATTTAATTCACTTATATTAATTATAATTTTATAAACGTTGGTATAGAATGTGTGTGAATTTATTACGATAAACATTATTCTCGCTCTATTTTAATTTTAAATAATATTTTAAATTAGAAAAATATGTTTTGAATAAATCAATGACTGATTAAACAAGTCTTAAAAATTACATAAAATAAAAATTATAAGTAATCTAAAAGCTTTTTACCCAGTGAGTTAGTGATGATCAAAATGTATTCTAGTAGGGATTCGAGACAAATCTTGTTGGTTTTTAATATGCCTTGGTTTCAGTGGTTTTTATGTGAAAATACAGCAAAATTAGCACCGTCTTGTCTAATGCTGTAAAACAGTAACGTCGCTGTGTTTTGGTTTCTAGGATAAGGTAACCAATTCAATAGCTACTTCTTCTAAGAAGCGATTATGCTCGAGTAGAGCCGAATAGTACATTTATTTGCTGTTTTCTAGTTATTAAAAATATGTTTTGATATTAATCCTGGTTTTGAATTAACGTATGAGAAAATTTTTATTTAGTCGATACCTCTACGAAAAATTCAGTTTTTTTTTAATTAGCCGGTGTTCGATTTAAAACTCAGTAGTTTCAAGTGCGTTTCTATTTTAAACCAAAGCTTGGCTAATCGATTACAATGTTTAATTTTGATTCTAAATATCGTAAATATTTAATATAATTGATGTGTGAGACTGAACTATGTTCCTGTCTTGGTGGGTTAGAATACGACGAAAGGTGGGCAAGTAAAGATGAAATAAAATATACTACTAATGGCAAAAATTGGTATTATTACTGACAACAATCAGGTATAGTATAGTATATCAATTATTTTTAGTGATTTATATGTAGCTATGTTTATTGGTGAGAACAATAGTATTTTAATGTTTGAAGCGAGTCTCGCTGAATTTTATAATCTCAGTGTTTTCAAGAGAAGTACGTTAAGGCATATTTTTGGCAGGCTCATTTTTAATTGCATCCAGAGGGATTATTAGATAAACAAGCTTTTGCTTCGGATAAAACAGTTTTTGATTGTATTTTAATGGAATAACTATTGTTCAGTCAGGCTCGCACTCGCATCATAGCCGCTCATGACTAAAGGCTTGAATTGTCCTGAAACTAGTCGAGTTTTCTCGACTAAAATACACATTAAATCGGTAATTATTACATTAAAATATAATGTGTACTTACAAAACTTTTACCAATAAAGTCTTGAATCGATCGAAAAATTTTCTATATTTTTTGTGGTTGAATTATGCGATTCGTCAATATTGGGCAGATTTTTGCTATTTTTTTTGTAATCGATAAGATTTATCTCCCTTGTCGTTTCATTTTCAACCGACATCAAAAGTTAAGGTCGTTCTCAAGTCGGTTGTATTTTGTATGTTTGTTGTCTCATATCTCCTGTATATACACATGATTTAACGTTTATAATTAAAATATTGTTTTCAATGTGTGTTTCAATTTCTGAAGGAGGTAACTTTTTTGCGGAGCAAAATGTCTTTGTGTGGCAAATATACACGGCCTGTATAATTTTGTTTTTATGTCAGTATTTATTAGATATTGATATGATCTTGAATATTTTTTTTTTATGTGAGACAGAATATTAGTTTGTACTGTATTTTTATTTTAAGAACATAAGAAGGTATACGCGCGATAAACTTTTACTAATAAGTGGCAATTAGTTTGCCATTTACAGTAAAAAATATCAGTTTTCGAATACGTAGATTCATATTAAGTATATACTATTATACTGTTTAGGGATATTGTTTAAATATACACATATTGTTTAAACATACTATTAACGTATACGTTTTAAAGTTGGCAACAGACTAGCAATCCTGGTTGAGAGATAGGTACACATTTACAATTATATCCCACATTAGTGATGTACCCACAAACATCGCAACTATGGTATATATTATATATACTATAGTAAGTACATAATTGAATATTCCAAAAGTTTTCTACGTGTTATAAAAATAAATAAATCGTATATAGAAATCAAATTTTGTCTATGTAAAATCCTTTTTTTTTTATACAACTTAGAATGGCAAACAAGCTGACGACCCACCTGATGGAAAGTGGTAACCGTCGCCTATAGACATGAGCAGTACCATGGACATAACAGAGAATACTGTTTCACCCATGATACCCTCCATGCGTTGCCATTCCTGAGGACGCAGGTGTTATTCCTCGGTACCCAGTAAATTCACGCCATATCCCACCCTTCAAACCGAAACACAGCCATGTAAACACAACTGCTTCACGGTTGAAACACGAATAGAACAGAGGTACTCAAGCAATCGACTTTTGTACAAAGTCTCCCTTTCCACAATTCCAGAGCACGTCTCTTAACATTTCTAAAAGTATTGGGACCTTTGGTGTCGACATCTCTAGTGACGTACAGTTCCGTGGCCACTTCGAAGATAAGGTGAAACTGGCATCCTAAAACTCGGTGTGCTTAATAGAACCAAGCATTACTTTACGCCGGATCAACGATTAATGCTCTACAAATCGGAAATCCGGCCCCAAATGGAGTATTGCTGTCACTTATGGGCGGGAGCACCTAGATGCCAGCTTGAACCATTCGACTCAGTGCAACGACGAGCTATGAGAATTGTCGATGATCCCAGACTTACAAGCGGTATAGAATCCTTAAGTCTTAAGAGCCTTAATTTTGCCTCAGTCTGTGGGTTCTACCGCTTGTACAAGGGATTGTGCTCAGAGGATTTGTTCAATATGATGCCTACGGCCACTTTCTACCATCGTACGGCTCGCCACAGATAGGGAGTTCACCCTGACATCCTCCAGCCTAGATGGTCGCGTACAACGCTGTTTCAGAGACGTTTTCTTCCATAAATACTCAGGTTATGGAATGAGCTTCCTGCAACGCAATGGTAACGCGCGCGTAATACCCCTTTTATTGCAGGCGTTCATAGGCTACGGTAACCGCTTACCATCAGATGGGCCGTATGCTTGGTTCCACCTCATTGGTATAAAAAAAAAATTAAAGTTTCTGTTTACGATTATGGAACATATTTGTACATTTTCCCTATAATCATTCACATTACATTTGAAAATATCATCAGATTAACGTCAACGCGGAACCAATCGTGGTTATTTCTTGAAGGAGTTATTACGATGGATTATTTGACTTGACTTCATTCTCATCTTTATTTTCTCGTTAGTAGCAGAGTGCTAGCGTATAATGATAGCGTAGGCGGGATTACCATTTCACTTTTATATTTAAAAACTCTGCATATCGAGCTGTCAGTAGGTTACATATTTAGCCTAATATTACATATGTAGGTATCTTCATACATATATTCATACATACAAATAAGTTTTTATCGACATAGTATTAATATGTATTACTAAGCAAAAAATCTTTTTTATATTATAGAGATAAAAGAGTTACTCTTCAATTTGTTGAAATAATAGAAGTGCCTTTTAAATATATAAAATATAAGGCTAAATTAATGTAGTTGTATTTGATTGATATAGTTTTGTAATATCATTATAATTTCTGTTTATACTTATAATATTTTATACTTGATGGTTTTTGTAAATTAATGTTTTTACAATATTTGAAAATTGTTTCAACTTTGGTATTATGTTTTGGACTGTACTTTTAATTATGTAATTTACATTGTATCTGATAGTAATTTTTGTGAAACGAAAATTGCGCTATGTATTCTAATTGTAACTATTTCATATAGATTAAATAATAAAAGCTAATATGTGTCTGTTTATAATTTTAATAGAGGACTTTCTATGAAAATAATTTCCTAATTAATGTAAATGGTGATTTGTGGAGGCCATCTATTTAATAATTAAATTAATTTTAATAATAAATCATATACACATATTTGTATCATGTGCATGTGGACTAATAGTGTCGGAATATTTTCGTCGAACGATTTATAGTGTCATGGGTGTAACTGTGTATTTTGTTATATCCATGACACTTAACATCATAGATGACGTTCTTGTTTGCCGGTCTAAGAGGCATTAATAATATCTATACATTTTAATAATCAAGAGCACCGGTCTAATATTTGTTTTATTGTAACAGGATTTCCAAAGAATGTCGGCGATGGACAACATCTGTGGTACGGAGGCTACCGATACTCAAAAAACCGAAGCAGCGGTCCCAGGATATGGTGGAGCTGCTACAAAAGAAACTCCAGAAGTTGTAAAGCCACGCTGCTCACATTTAATGGTGAGCTGATCAAAGCTAATGGACAGCATACACATGCAAGTGAATGAGGCTCTACGATTTTAGCTTTTATATTGTTATTAACTTATTGCCCGCTTTACACGCGTAGATTTCGGAAGTAAAATAGAAAATGAAATAGACAACCGCTGTATGGCGTGTCAAGTTAAAATATACAACTTTAGACCTGCAGGAACTACTTCCACGCCATCTAGCGAAGAACTATTATATTATAAATAAACTATATAATACTTCATTTGTATTTTTAACCCCCGACGTAAAAAGACGGGTGTTATAAGTTTAACGTGTAAATAAATTTTTTTACAATATTTTAAAATAGTTTCAACTTTGGTATTATGTTTTGAACCGTACTTTTAATTATGTAAGTTACATGGTATCTGATAATAATTTTTGTGCCATTAAAATTGCCCCATGTACCCTAGTTGTAAGTACTTCATATAGATTAAACAATAAAAAACCAATGTGTGTATATTTATAATTTTAATAGTGGACATTTCATGAAAATAATTTCCCAATTAATCTAAATAGTAGTTTGTAGACGCCATCTATTTAATTATGAAATTAATGTTAATAATAAATCATATATACGTAATTTTTATATGTGCTCATGGACTAATAGTGTAGGAATATTCTCATCGAGCTATTTATAGTGTCACAGGTGTAACTGTGTACTTTGTTATATCCATGACATTTAATGTCATAGATGACGTTCTCATTTACCATTCTAAGGTGCATTAAAAAATCTACATATATTTATCAAGGGCACCGTCTAATATTTGTTTTACTTTACAAGTGTTTCCAAAGAATGTCGGTGATGGACAGCATCTATGGTACGGAGGCTACCGGTATTCAAAGAACCGGAGCAACGGTCCCAGGATATGGTGGAGCTGCTACAAAAGAAACTCCATGAGTTGCAAAGCCACGCTGCTCACATTTAATGGTGAGCTGATCAAGGCTAATGGACAGCATATACATGCAAGTGAATGAGGCTCGTCGATTTTGAGTTTTATATTGTTATTGGTTTTTTGACTGCTACTGACGCATACAATAACAGAATTAGAAAAGATGAAATAGACCACCGCTAGATGGAGTGTCAAGATAAAACCTACACCAGATTTTAAATTAGAGCTGTAGGAACTACTTCCACGCTATCCGGTGAACATCCATCATATTATAAATAAAATATATAATACATAATGTGTATTTTTAACCCCCGACGTAAAAAATGGGTGTTTTAAGTGTGACGTGTAAATCAATTTTTTTACAAAATTTTTAAATTATTTTAACATTCGTTTTATGTTTTGGATTGTATTTTTAATTATGTAATTTACGTGATATCTGATAGTAATTTTTGTGACATAAAATTTGCCCCATGTATCCTAGTTGTAACTACTTTATATAGATTAAATAATAAAAAAAACCAATATGTGTCAATTCATAATTTAAATATCGGACTTTTTATGAAAAAAAATTCTTAATTAATGTAAACGGTGGTTTGTAGAGGCCATCTATTTAATTATGAAATTAATGTCAATGATAAATCATATGTACATATTTTTATCATGTGCTTGTGGACTAATAGTGTCGGAATATTTTCGTCGAACGATTTATAGTGTCACGGGTGTAACTGTGTACTTTGTTATATCCATGACACTTAATGTCATACATGACGTTCTCATTTGCCATTCTAAGGTGCATTAAAAATATACATATATTTATCAAGGGCACCGTCTAATATTTATTTTATTTTACCAGGATTTCCAAAGAATGTCGGTGATGGACAACATCTGTGGTATGGAGGCTACCGATACTCAAAGAACCGAAGCAACGGTCCCAGGATATGGTGGAGCTGCTACAAAAGAAATTCCATGAGTTGTAAAGCCACGCTGCTCACATTTAATGGTGAGCTGATCAAGGCTAATGGACAGCATACACATGCAAGTGAATGAGGCTCTACGATTTTGACTTTTATACTATTATTGTCTTTTTGTCCGCTACTTCGCACGCGTGGATTTTAGAAGAAAAGCTACCACCTCTAGTGTGTCATCATAAAACAACCATCAGAGTTTAAATTAGATTTACAGGAACTACTTACACGACACCTAGTGAAAAACTAACCTATTATATTATAAATGAACTGTGCGATACATCATTTGCATCTTTAACCCTCTACGCAAAAAGAGGGGTGTTATAACTTTAGCGACTCTGCGTGTTTGTGTGTCTATGTCTCTGAGTGTCAATGTCTTTGTGTGTCAATGTCTCTGTGTGTCGATATCTTTGTGTGTCGTTGTCTTTGTGTGACATTGCCTTTGTGTGTCTGTGTGTCCTATATGTCTATGTATCTGTGTGTCTGTCTGTAGCATTGTAGTTCCTAATCCAATTGATTGATTATGATGAGGTATTTTTTGTTCGAAAGCTGACGTGATCGAGATGTTTCTTAGCTACAATCTATGAAGATCTGTTCAGGCATTTCGAGTTCATCAGTTCTTTATAATCGATGACAAAAAAAGATATGTGTTATAAGTTTGACATCACTGTGTGTCTATGTATTTGTGTGTTCTATGTGTCTATATATTTGTGTGTCCTTTGTATTTATATGTATGTCTGTGACATCGTAACTCCTAAACGAATAGACTGATTATAAAATGGTGTTTTTTTTTGTTTAAAAGTTGATGTGATCGAGATGTTTCTTAGCTTTAATTTATGAAGATCTGTTCCTTTTAATTCCCGACACAAAAAGAGACGTTTTATAAGTTTGATGTCTCTATCTGTGTGTGTCTATGTATTTATGTCTCCTATGTGTCTGTGTGCCTATTTGTGACATCGTAGCTCCTAAACGAATGGACCGATTACGATGCGGTTTTTTTTGTTTGAAAGCTGACGTGATCGAGATGCTTCTTAGCCTCAATTTATGAAAATCAGGCGTTTCAAGGTCATCAGCTCTTTTTATATGTTTGTTTGTGTCGGTAATTTTTAAACTTTTTTATTTTATAGTTACTGTACCTCAAATAAGAAAATAAAAAATAGAGTAACCTGGATTTGGTTTATGGAATAAAATGTGTTTTAGAATGTAAACAAATATGTACATGTAAAATGTTTTTTGTAACCAATTTTGAATTAAAAAATAAATAAACTTGTAATAAAAGATGATTTATTATTGTGGGTTTTTTCCTATACAACGATTATATATTGAAGTAATGGTAACTAATTTTCTTTTTTTTTTATAATACAAATAATAGTTTTACATCTTCCATGTTTTTTTGTGAGATGGATTATCTTTACTAATATAATAAAAAGTTTGTTTGAACGTACTAATCTCTGAAACTACCAGTTAGATTTGATTTTTTTTTGCATTTGATAGCTTTCTTAAAAAAGATTATAAGCTTAGATTATATAGATAGAGAGTCGAGCCTCAAAAACAGGTCAACTTTTTGTCAGCTAATTGTCAAATTAGCTGACTGGTTTTTTTTTATTAATGCTCTATATACTTATGCACACAATGTATCTTGGCGTTATAACGATATTTAATTATTGAAAAGTTGCAGAATTTATAAGACAAAATGAATATAGAAGTTATAAAGGAATCGCTCATAACTATTTATCACGCAAAATTATATGAAAAAGTTGACTCGCGTTTCTCGAAATATTTCTATGGATACACTCTATCTATATAATCTAAGGTTATAGGCTTTTTAATATTACGATTCGACTATGACAGTTTGATACTTCAGTTATTAGTAATAAGCACTTGTCAGTTTCGAAAACGCTGGTCTATTAAAATGTTTTTTTTTTTCAGAACCACGCTTCGGTTTGTCAAATCGTGGAAATCCGGTTATACTAATTGGGGAGTACCGATTTATTAAGGAAAGGGATATTGGCCCAAAGACTAGATGGAATTGTGTGAAGAAGCGGTCTCAGCGGTGCACGTCGTCTCTCATGACTTGCGAAGGTGTTATTCTTAAGACCGTGGGCAAACATAATCATTAACTGCTGGTATGAGTGAGGTAGAAAAACATACGGCTAGGCTGATGGTAAACAATTGCTGTAATGGATATAGATATAATACATATAACGAGTGTTGACATCAATTCTTTTTTTTATACCATTGAGGTGGCAAACAAGCATACGGCCCACCTGATGGTAAGTGGTTAAATTAATTCAATTAATTAATTCTATTTTTAAACACACATATTCGACCACAGATTATGAAGATTTATCGACAAACTCGATGTCAATACATTTATAAGACATCTGAACATTGTTGCTTGCAATTTGTATTCTTTTATGACCAGACAAAAATTTTTGCCCAGGATTATTTTACTGTACTTAAAAGCGTGAAAAATATAAATCTACCCAGTTGAAGAATTTTTACCCCTAAATTTAATTTCCCTTTATGTTTACCTCGTCTTTACACACAATGTTCTTCGGCGTGTATTTTATTTAGTTCGATTATTAAAAAAAAACCTTTTAAAAGTGGGCACAATATGAATTTTCCCCTTTGAGCAAAATGTACGGCCATTTTGC